GTGTTTAAAAAACCAAATGGTGGCTTATTTCCTTAGCAGTGGGAACTGCAATTACATAATGTACAGTTCCAACTTGGAATGTAGTTTCCTCCACAAGGCCAAATGCAAATATGAGAAAGTGTGGAAATGCAGAAAGGGCTGTATAGATAGGGTTTATGATTGCATAGATCCTAAATAAAAAAAAACCTGTCACAACAAACATTTGGGAAAGATTCACTTGTTCATTGGATTTAAGTGTTTGTATGCCTACTACTTCATAAAGTGTAATGGAATGTAAGTAACTGAAGAGATGTTAAAAATGTATGCCTCCAAGTGCAAAAGTAGTTCAGCTGTGATATGGGTAAATTGCTAGCCAAACGTTTTACCTTCAAAACCCAAACCAGTATATGCTTGCGTAGCAAGCTGCTCAGACTCATTGACGGGCGCAGCAATAAAACAACCAGCACATTTGCAACGTTAAGCAGAGTCCGACTTGGGTTTTAAATTGGATGGGGAACCACAAGTTGAGATTCCTGCATCATAGGCAGTTGGACTAGATGACCCTTAGGAGTCCCTTCCACCTGTACGATTCTGTTGTTCTGTGATTCTATGCTCCCTTGTCTGCAGTAGGAGCCGAGTTGTGGCGCCTATGAGTGTCTGTGCCTGCTGGTGGTGTTGCATGTGGCTGCTGTTTGCTCACCAGCTGGCGACAGCTTGACCTTTGCCTAAGACAGCGAAATGGCTTGTGCTGGCCTTCCTCCAGATCCCCTTACCCTCTGAAGTAAGGTGATTGTTGACCTGAAAAAGAGCATTTTCAGAGGTGGCACACATACTTTGTAATCCTCTCCCCAGCAGGGTTTTCCTGGTAACTACATTGCTGTCATTTCAATGCCAGGCAGAGAGTCTATTATTCTCCCACTTTTAAAAAAGATTTCAAGCCATGGTTTGAGTTCTATCTTATCTATCTATCTATCTATCTATCTATCTATATCTATCTATCTATCTATCTTTATCCGCTGCTTATTTTGCAGCTTTTTTGGTGCTGTCACTGGTTGCATTATTTTATTTTTTTACTGGCACTTGTTCAGAAGGTGTCAGTGTGGTGTAGTTGTTGTCAGTCTAGAATCAGAAAGACCTGAGTTCAGATCTCCATCTAACCGCAATGCTCAGCGTTCACCAGTTCTCAGCCTGGTGAGAATCTGCTTTACAGGGTTGTTTTGAGCATACAATGGGGTAGGAGAACCATGAATGCTTTCTTGGGTTCGTTGGAGGAAAAGTGGGGTATAAATGAAATAAATAATATTGGAGATGGGACCAAAAAGCCACTCATATTTAACTTTCTGTATGTTCTTTTTTACAGTGATACACAAGTTTCTCAACTAAGGTGCCACTATTCTGGATAAGATCTGAGAGAATATTCACTTAAGTCCTATCAGTTAAACTTTCTCATTTTGCTCTTCTTTGAAGGCGACTTAGTTCAGATTACCTTATAGATGATATATGACACCTGCAAAGTTAAATCAAATATTTGGATTAGACACTTTTATGTGCTAGAAATGTAATGCTTGACAGGCAGGCTTTTATTCTGTTTTGTGTAGGTGTTCTTTGATACAAATATGATGGTTTCAAGTGGTAATGTGACTGCTATTTATGTATTTATTACCTAAAATTGTGCTGCATTTTTTTTTTAAAAAAAAGAAGCCCCCACCTGCAGGGTTACAGACTAAAAGTAAAAGTAAGACACTTTAAGGAGGAAAGGAAGAGGTGTAAAAAGAAAGGTCAATTGGGGAAAGGCAGGATGAACAGATGTTTCCTGAGGTAAAGGCAAAGGGACCCCTGACCATTAGGTCCGGTCGTGACCGACTCTGGGGTTGCGGCGCTCATCTCGCTTTATTGGCCGAGGGAGCTGGCGTACAGCTTCCGGGTCATGTGGCCAGCATGACTAAGCCGCTTCTGGCGAACCAGAGCAGCGCACGGAAACACTGTTTAGCTTCCCGCAGGAGCGGTACCTATTTATGTACTTGCACTTTGACGTGCTTTTGAACTGCAAGGTTGGCAGGAGCAGGGACCGAGCAACGGGCGCTCACCCCGTCGCAGGGATTCGAACCGCCGACCTTCTGATCGGTAAGTCCTAGGCTCTGTGGTTTAACCCACAGCGCCACCCACATCCCTGTTTCCTGAGGTACTCAGAGGTAAAAAAATAAAAAAGAGGAATAGAATCTGATGCCTCTGAGGGCTGCAAGGACATTCCAGGGCTAGAAAGCAGCAAGGGGAAAGAGATAAAAGGAGAGGAAATACAGTAATCTTAGACTTAGCTAGAAGATTGTTACATATAAAGAGTCTGGGGTTAAAGATAAAGAGCAAGAGTGGGCAACATTTTTGCTGCCAAGGGTTTGCATGCTGGCAGACAGAGACTACTTGGATTTACCTAATTCAAAATAAAGACCAACAGGATTCAAATTTCACCATGGCTACCTCAGGTTTTGCAGTCTACTGAGAAGTAAGTCCTAATGAGTTTGATGGTTACTCTCAAATATATACACAGAAGGGGTTTGGAAGTAGAGTGGTACTTTGGGTTACAGACGCTTCAGGTTACATACGCTTCAGGTTAGACCCTGCTAACCCAGAAATAGTACCTCGGGTTAAGAACTTTGCTTCAGGATGAGAACAGTAATTGTGCGGCGGTGGCACGGCAGCGGCAGGAGGACCCATTAGCTAAAGTGGTGCTTCAAGTTAAGAACAGTTTCAGGTTAAGAACGGACCTCTGGAACGAATTAAATACTTAACCCGAGGTACCACTGTACATGAGTTTATTACAACAACTAATCTAGAAAGCATACAGTAAAAGTAATTCCTTTCTTTAGAACAGACAGCACATACACAATGCATCTGGAGAGAGAGAGACAAGACTATCCATTTGTTCTGAGCCAGATGGTGTATGTGTGGAGAGGAAATTTATTTTCCCCAAGCCATAACACTGGGGATAAAGTAAACTCTCATCAACTCTGATGAGATGGAAGAATAAGGCCACATAAAATGAAGATTCCCCACCTGTGATATAGAGCAGTATGGTAGGCAGTAGGTAGAAGCAGCTTAAACTGGAGATGAATTACCAAGGGAGTTCAGAGGAGAGGAGAGTATAAATATTTGAATGAGCAGCAAAAAATATCAACCAAGCAAGAGCATTTTAAGACAGTAGCTTAAGAGTAGAAACAGGAAGACCCAAATGTAGAATGTTCTAATAAGCAGTGAATGAAATAACAAGAAATTGAACTAAACTTGCAATAGTGGCTTAGAATAAAGAGAGGAAATTCTCAATATATTTACCAACTGAAAACAGCAAGGCTTGCTTGACAAGACTATGGGCAAAAGGAGGTAAGATTCCAAACCTGAGAACAATAAGCAGCCCTTATGGTATCATCAAGAACAGGCTGAGATACAGGAGAAAGAGAAGATGTTTAAAAGCCAGACAGTGGGAATAAATACTGCTGAAATTTGATGTTTCCGTACTGATTTTAATTACTGTATGTTGAAGGTAATAACTTGTAAGTAATTTTGCAAGTTATTACTAACGGTGGCTGCAAAAATTGTGTTGGCAGGAAATGTGATTCATCCCTACATTATAGAAAGGCTTTTCAAGGTTTTAGAAATCGCACAAATGGACGAGCTAATGGATATGGTTCACCAGAGCAACGGGGGGAGTTGTTCCTGTTGAATGGTACAAAAAGCTGACTCCTTTTAGCTAGAACTGGAATGCCAATTGTAATACCTCGAAAGGTCATAGGCACCTACTTAGCATTTCATAAACGATTGAAAAACACGCAGACCCAGTCTTTTGCTTGTTAGATAATGCCCTGCAACCGCTTGAACTCTCAGAGAACTGTGTCTCACAGCAGCACCAACTCTCCAGGTATGTTGTATAAGCTGACTTTGAGAGTGGTAGGAAAGCAGTTGAGAGAGCTGCGGAGCCTGGGGCCACCGCGCTTGTGACACGAAGGCGAGAACATAACGGCATCAAGTGAGACTAATTGTTTTATTCAGTCTCTTATGAAAGAAAAGTCTATTTAAAATCTGCAGGAGACCTGTAGATCTACTTGCTGCATTGGGGATGGGGTGGGGCCTGTCACGCTCAGGTGTTAAAACTAAAAGTGACGGGATCGTGGTCAGGTTGAAATAAGAGGTTGAAGGAAATTGGTCACGGCTTCCTGTTCCATGTGGCAGGCCAAGGTATATGGTCATGTTGTGGCTGCTTTTATTTGGGCACGCGTTAAGTAGTACTGTATAATGGTTTAATTGACACAGAAATGAAAAATGACTAAATGTATTTTGGGGGAAAGGTTCAACATGGTGTGCCCCCCCCCATGGGGCTATATTGAAAGCGAGGAGAGCACTTTGAAATCTCATTGGGTTAATGATAAACTGATGGTTGTTTCTCTGGTAGCTAACATGTGAGTGTTGTAACCCGAGATCATGTGAGAGGTACTGGGTTGCAAAATCTCCATTTTGCAGGGAATTGCCTTTTGAGTCTTTTCTCCCAAACTCAAATGAATGTGTAAAAGAAGCTCTCCTGAAGGGAGAGTAAACAGTCTGGAGGCTGGTATGCAGGCTGTGTGGAGAGAGAGACCTTTGCTTTAAGATCAGCTTGGATCATTTTCCTATTTTGTAAGATGCTAAGCCTATGCTGGAAATTGTATTTGGGACCCGTTTCATTTGATGTTTCTGCTTTATTTCAATGAGTTCTGCCAGTAAAAGTTTGAATATTTTTATGGGTGTGGACAATGAGGAGCCGTTTCTTATGCTCAGTATCTGCAACACGTTGAGTGCTCGTCCAGAAAAGTTCAGACCCTCCAGTGCTAGGCTCACGGGGCGCTTTCCTTCTCGTTGCTTAGGGCTTCGTAGCAGCGGGGGAAGCGCCACGAAAGCCCCTTCAGGGCGCGCGGGAGGAGCGAGCCGCCCGCTTTCCCGCCCTCGCCGGCCTCCTGGGGCGCACGCAGCGCTCGCGCCCTCCGCAGCCCGCCCAAACGCGCGGCAATGCCGGGCGAGGCGCCGCTCCTGCCCCCGACGGCCTTTTCTGCGGGGCTTCTAGCGGCAAGCCAGTGTGCGCGCAGAAGGCGGCGCCTGAGGCGAGGTGGCGCGGGGCGGCGTCCTGCTCCCCCGCCCCGTTTCTGGGCTGCCTCCTCCGAGCCGGCAGGGCGGCTTCCTGCTCTTAGTGCCCGGACGGGATTGGGGAAGCACCTGCAGCGCGCCGCCGAGAGGGTGCAGCTTGCCGGGGCTTGAAGGGTCGCAAGGAGCCTGGGCTGGGGAGCGCGCAGCCTCGTCCCTTCCTTCCTATCCATCCGCGGGGCAAAAGGAGAGAGAGAGGGGAAAGTCCGCTTTTGGTTGCTGCCGGGGCTTGGCGAGCGGCTTCGCAGCGCGAGGGAAGGAGCTAAGCAGGAGAGTTGCTGGAAAGTGGAGGTGAGCGAGCCAAGGAGCGTGCGGGAAGTTTGGGTAGGAGCTGCGAATTGGTCAGATCCGTTAAAAAAGGGCTCCGCGCGCAGCCCGAGCCTTGCGGCGTGATTCCTCGGGTGCAAGTCCCGCTTGTTCCCGGCGAAGACCTCGTAGCATTGCAGCCTTAAAGCGCGAGGATAGCGCCGTAGCTTAGCTAAAGGGGCTAGATATGTGCATGAGATCCGGTCCAACTTGATTTCAAAGAGAGAACCAGTTGCAGCATCTAAACGCCGCCTGCTTTTTTTAGGTTACCAAGATTCTAAGAAAAACCCCAAGTGCTCCCTTCCTTCTTCCTTCTTGCCGGGTGCAAGGAACTGGGTGGCGTAGATTGTCTGTAAAGGCGTTGGCAGGGACTTTCTCTGCTATTTTTCCTCTCTTGAACTCCTCAGATTCCTGCTGAAATGGAATGCTGTGGTGCATCGCCTGTTATCAGCCTAATGGTTCATCACATGTACTGTAATAAGTCGAGTCAGTCTCCTTTCTTTCTTTCTTTCTTTCTTTCTTTCTTAATGCCTGGCCTCCCTTCCTCGTTAGGCAGGAAGAAAGCAAACTTCGGGAGCTGCTATAGTTGATATTTTGCATTCTGGCTTAATAAACAAGGGCATATAACAAAAGAGAACCAAAAAGTGAGATTGCTTACTTTCTCTTCTTTCCCTCCAAAGTCCAGACCTCACTTTACTCAAAATCTGCTCAGTGGCAGGACCAAGGTGTGTATGGTTTAGAATAGATCATCGTGTCTTGCACGGTATGTTTAGGGTGGTCTTGAATTCGTATGGGGCGGGTGGTGACTTGTAGTTTCTGTGACCCAGAGCCAAGCTGCTGTCAGGTTCTAATTACCTCCTTCATCCATAAGATAAATTATTGGTACTAGTAACTGCCTGCATGGGAAATGGCACCCACTTTACCCCCATATGAAAGTAGGTTTTCCTGGAACTGTGATAGGTAAATAAATTTAAATATAATTTATAAGTGTGATATGCATCAAAGATTAGTTTTTTTTAAAAAAAGGTTGCATGATGAAAAATTAGTGGATTTTATTTTTAGAAGGAGAACGCTATGTGTGTAAGCTATAATTGATCACCACTGTTTTGGCTTTCAGATAATTGGGCTTAGTTGTCATCATAGTGCCTTTTTATTTTCCTAAAGTGAATCTGCTTCTGCATTTTATAATGTATGGATGAACATGGATGAACCAAGTGACCCTTAAGAATAAAACTTCACTTTTATCAAATTTAGGAGAAATCAGTCATCCTTAGAACGGAAGAGCTCAGTATGTTTTTCAACAAGGGGTTATGGTGTTTTCACTTAAAAACTAGATGCCAAAATACTGTGCATATTATGCTTAGTATTTATAGAATATACTTTCTGGTTGCATGCACTGTGTTCACTGTACTGTGTGTAACAATATAATTTAAGATTTCATCTCTGTCGGGAATCTAATGCTTGTAGTTTAGCTCCCTTGTGTCCATTGTTTAAGGTCTCATTTGAAATTTAAGTGACAAAGAGGACTTGGACTTGTTTTGTTTGAGAGAGCCTTGTAAATAGTAAGAGCTAATCTTTCAAGAGCTGAAAGCATAAAGTCAGCTGCTTATTTATATTCAGGATAAACTTGTTTTAGTTATTCTGTACATTGGTGTATGTGTACATGAGACACAGTCCTTTTTTTGTCTTGGTCAAGCCCAGGTAAAGTTAAGGGAGACCTTAACTTGGTTTATGTCTTAGAGCAGCTTCTTAGAATTTGTTCCCTGCATGAGGTTGCCACCTGCAGAGGCAAGCAGTGTCAGTATGACATATATATAGTTGCACGCCACCCCAAATTCTTCAGTGGTGCAATATTCCAGGTTGTAGGTGCTTACACAGGGATCATGTTTCCTTCAGAATGAGGGTCAGTGGAGATGGTATATTTATGATGCACGGTTTATTTACACATACAGTGGTACCTCAGGTTACAGACGCTTCAGGTTACAGACACTTCAGGTTACAGACTCCGCTAACCCAGAAATTGTACCTCTGGTTAAGAACTTTACCTCAGGATGAGAACAGAAATCGCGTGACGGCGGCGTGGTGACAGCGGGAGGCCCCATTAGCTAAAGTGGTACCTCAGGTTAAGAACAGTTTCAGGTTAAGAACGGACCTCCAGAACGAATTAAGTTCTTAACCCGAGGTACCACTGTATATCCAACCTGTGATGGAAGGGATCACAGCATTAACACCCCAAGAGGGCCTTGCTGGTCCCATAGTCACAGCCTTGGATTCAAACAGAAATCAAACATTTCTCTGCTTGTTGTCCCCACTCCCACCCCTTTCTAGCTTCTAGCTCCTATCACTCAACTCTCTACTCTGGCCCTATGTCTTTCTAACTGCCAACAAGTTGAGGGAAGGAGGGCACCCACCCATTTGCTCTCTGATGCTGAGCCACTTCCTTTGTTACCTTAATGGCCCATTTCCTAGGCTATATACCCTCACCAGGAATTTGAATCCTTGCTTATATTTTAACACTTGTAACTCTTGCTGGATCCAGAGATTAGAAGGGTTGCCAGCATACAGCCTACTCCCCTCATCCCAAACTCATACCACTATCATAAAAAAAAGGATCTTGGCTGCTCAGTCCTATGCAGGTCTACTCAGAAGTAACGTGCATAGGGCTAAGTAAGGGTGTAAAGGACTGCTGCATAAGTTTGCCTGTTTAATCATTTATGACACATTCTGATTTGACAATGGTGTAACTGGAAATGAGTCTAGACTCAGTTTCAGATATGAGATTCAAATTAGCTGCGAGAAAGCAGTTGACTTCCATCTGACTTCATGGGCCATTTTACGCTAAGAGAGTTTCTCCAAGTGTTTTTCATGCATATCCCCCCCTCCCTGCAAGGCCCCCTTCTAGTCATTTTATAGCAAGCAATCTTGACTTTGTACCTGCATCTCCATTTTCACACTCCTTGATGTTTCCACAGACTTTGCTTGTAGAGTATGTCAGATCTCACAAAGAGATATATCCCCTTCTGTAGTATATGGGGGGAAATGTTTTCCATGTTATGATACAAAACATCTTTCATTTGGTAATATCTGTTTATTACCTCAGCCAATGTATTTTCACAGTTGTCGATCCATTGGCAAATGACATTTTCCTTTTATGAAAAGTTATTCAAAATTTATTTATTCATTTTTTTATTCCCCGTTATCTCCCTCTTTCTCCCAAGGAGACCAGGCCAGTGGGCATAATTTTATTTTATGTTTCTTTTCCCACTGTAGGTTAGGATGAAACATGGTGGCTTGCTCAAAGTGTCACTGAGATCTTCGTGGCTGAGCAGATCCCAGCCTGATCCAACACTTTATATGCGATCATTCAGACTTCTGGTGGCACCACACTAGCTCTCCATTTATGTATTTTATTATTATTCTACAAAGTCCTGAGTACAATTCACAGAGTAATCCTGTACATGTCTACTCAAAAAGAAACCCTGTTAAGTTCAAAGAGCCTTCCTCCCTGAATGTGGTTACAGTGGTACCTCGGGTTACATACACTTCAGGTTACATACGCTTCAGGTTACAGACTCCGCTAACCCAGAAATAGTGCTTCAGGTTAAGAACTTTGCTTCAGGATGAGAATAGAAATCGTGCTCTGGCGGCACGGCAGCAGCAGGAGGCCCCATTAGCTAAAGCGGTGCTTCAGGTTAAGAACAGTTTCAGGTTAAGAACGGACCTCCGGAACGAATTAAGTACTTAACCCAAGGTACCACTGTACAGGATTTTAGCCGGATCCTGCAGTCCTGTAGCCCCTGATATGATGACCCAGCATCCATAGAAAGCTTCTCCTTCTCCAAGTTTGGAGAGAGAGGCCTGATATTAGATGTTCTCTAACTACCGCTGCGGAAACATGCATGGGTCTTTTTCTACTTACACTGGGGTATTCTAAGGACACACCAGGAGAAGGCTTGGATCGAAAAACACAGAACCAAACAAGAGATGAAACTATGCCAGCCCAGGAACTGGCATATTTTATTTCCCTCTTGTTCCCAGTGGGAGGAAAATTGTTAACAGTCCCACCACCAGCATCCACACAATAAACAGAAAAGGATGGTCCCCTGACCTCACTTCCATCCTGCAAGGATGATAAGTTCATTGGATTGCAGTTGTTCAACTACCTTTGGTAGTCTCCCCTTGCACTGTTAATGCATTTTTTTGGGTGGAAATGCCAGCGAATGACAGCAGAAATGAGAGAACATGCATCAGAATTTACACACACTGTGCCTAATCATGTGGAATGGAAAAACAATTTTATTCAGGTGTTTTTCCGCTTTTTTTCAGTTAGTTTTCTTTTTCATACCAGTACATTTCAGATGAGAAAACATGGAGCTCACAACACCTTGAGACAGAATATTCTCACTTGATATGTTTTGTATCAAGAATGAGCTTTTCATTACTTTTTTTTGTAAAGGTAAACCTTTCATTTTTCAGAACTGAATATGGCTTAAAAATCTGAATGCAGTAAAAGATAAGATTGAAAGACTGCATCAAACAAACAAACAAACATGTAATATAATTTAACAGCAACGGAAACACAGTGGTATTGTCCCCGTCCCCCCAAAAAAGTTAGCAATACTTTAGAATGGGAATGGATAACTTGTTGTCCTCAAGACTCCCATTCCCATCAGTCCCAGCCAACATGGCCAATGATCAGCGATGATGGGAGTTGTAGTCCAATAACATCTGGAGGGCCACAGGTTCCCTGCCCCTATTTACATGGTAAGTGGAATGATGAGAGGGAAAGAATTACTTTCATGCAAGATAAGGGAATTAGTTTTTCTTTGTAACCTTTGAAGATGGACATTTAGACTGTAATTCTATAATCTTGGAGTAAGTTCGTTGAAAACAAGGATTGCTTCTGACTAGATGATGTAGGATTGTTCTGACATAAAATTCCAGTTCATCCTTGATTGTTGTCTCAGGGTGGTCTTATATTGTCT